GAAGCGGTAAACTAAGTGAAGCTTAGTGAGCGTGAAAGCCAACATCAAACGGCAGCTTATTATGGCGCGTATCAAAAGACTTGATTGGGAACCATATTTTCCAAATCATATGCGTTAAACTGCAATTTCGCGCGGCAATGGACGTAGAATAGTGGTAAATTAATTAATATATATAATTTTAGACTGGGAAAGGGACTAAGGGTCGCGATTCTGATCTCACTTATTTTTCTGTTCTTTCGAGCGATGCAAACTACCGAAAAATGCGATATGTCATCCGATAAAACAAGATGAAGCAAAATAGCCGGCAGTGCTTTTTCTTTTCTTCTTGAGCCTCGCGCCACGGCAATGCGGTCGACGATAGGCCGAGCCGATAAAGAAGAATCTTAACGAGGGGTTGCGCGTCGTGGCTTAAACTATACGCTTATACGGGCTCTGCTGCGCCGTACTGGGCGGCTTGCGGCGCGAAGAGGTCGACCGGTTATTAGAACGAGGGGCACGAGTTGGCGGGAAAGTGTCTAATAGCCCGCCAAGAGTACAATCGCCCCCGAAGGTTTCGGCGCGGGGTACGTACTTTACATACATTTGCATCCCGCCGCCACAAATCCGACCGATCGCGGAAGGCCGAGGGCGGGTAACGCGCACGCTGGCGTCTCTATCTTGGCGAGCCACTCGAAAGGGCCACACCACAAGGTGTAGAATCTTTAATCCGTTCGGCTCCTTTTTCGTCCGATCGAAACGATCATTTAAATTTCAGGGCGCACTTCTATACGCGATGTATTCTTAAAACTCACAGTCAGATGAGAATATCAAGTTGCGAGATGACCGGATTTATGAGACGCGGTTACACTAAAGTAGTTCAGATATTTCAGTATAACGGAGTGATTAACGTTTCAGTTTAAAAGTTCTTATCGTCGAGAGGTATTCTGAGACACTTTTATTTAAGAGTGCATATATACCAATTTTAACGTGTAAGTTTCGATACCGGAGCGCAATAAGAAAGTGACTCAAACAGTCCGCTTAAAAAGAGAGGAAGAAACAGATAGAACGTGAATGAAGATTTATTCGAAAATAATATATCGCTGTCTTTCAAATAATTATTCGAATAAATGATTATTCGACTATGTACTTTCTCATGTCGTTTACATTTGTTTCGATGTTGTAATGCAATTAATATGATTTCACGATTGCACAGTTAATTAACAGTAATTAACTTCATGATTATCACACTAGTGTATCCTGGACATATTCGCCACGTGATGAATTTATATTTTAACATCGATCGCGTACTCGTCAATATAAAAAGCTCCCTGTAAGAGACACGCATTTATCAGATATGTAATATTCAGTATAATCTTTGGCATTATGCATACACATAGCGCAAATTAATGTACAATTCAGGACCAGAAATGAAAATTTATATAAATAAAAAATGGAACAAAAATGAGAGTCCATAACTTTTAGAGAATTATCATTTATTCTATTACCAAATTTATCGGTAAAAAATTAAGTCGCCTGCAAGATTTATATGAAAAAAAGAAGGCAGAGGTGATAATTGTAACGATGATATACACAGGCTATATTATTGCTGGCGATATATTTTTATATAAAAAACGAAGAATAATATATTTTTGGTTATTATTTCGAATTTTTCCGACGGTAGTAATTTAAATGTAGCGACAGCCTGCCCGTCAAATTTATTTAAATTTTTCAAACTGATAGGTAAGACATGCGAATATGCAAGCACATGTAAAGTACACGTAATTATAAAATATTCGCGCTGTTGCAGTGACGCGTCAAATTGTATCATGTAAACGTAAAAAATAAAAAATTAAACTGAATTTTTCTCGCGGAGACAAATGTTTAACGGTAGACATACGTCCGTGAGCGTACACCAGCCTCACTTAAATCCTAGTTAACGTGAGGCTCGCAATGTATCAATGGGATACTATCTATGGGCTTGTTAAACGATATAAATCAGCGCGCTCAGCTGAGGTATTTATGGAGATGCATTAGCTTTTCGCGCAAGAGTATAGAATGCCAGCATTTATTTGGTAATTTCCGGCAGTCTGATACTCATCTCTCGAACGTTATTGCGCCGCGATCCGATAGAGCTGACCAACAATCTTCTGAGATTAAGAATCGCGTCAGACCTTCGTCAAGTCAATCGATAATTGGCGATTGGGGGATATAAGTTACGTTTGTTAAATTAAAAAGTATTAAAAATAGACCGGCTACTAATGAAAGCACGGGACAATTCGAACGTAAGCTGAAAGAATACTATAACATATTTTGTCTACACATGCACACTAGCGATTATGTTATACTGATTTAAAGTACACGGCATTGCTCGGATTATCACAAAGTATCAAGAGAATGAAATTCAAGGGGATGAAGTAGGTGCCACAGTAGCCTATATTTTTCGCAGGGTCCTAGAGAGTAACTATGCAAAATTTGATCCAGACAGGTCAAAGGATTTAGGATTTAGAAGTGTTTAGGAAACAGATAGGCAGACACATTCTATTTTAAACACATATAAATTAAGTTCTCTAAAACGTCATAGGAAACAATAATAATTTCATTACTTAGTTAGGGATTCGTTAATGAGATATAGGTCGTATCCTGTAAAATGGATATCCTGAAAGGATAATGTATACACTTCTGGATGAATCGATTGATTAGGGCAAAGATCAGCCTTGCGGAGCTTATGATGTTGTACACGGTGTTACTCGGCGAGCCGCGAAACAAATAATCAAGGATTGAATATCGGTGTCTCGTAGTAGCAATCACGGCTTCCTCAGGAGGTACCTACGGTGTCCGCTAAGACGACCGTAGTTGGCGAAGTTTGACAAGTTGGCGGTAACAGGGACGGTGGTACCAAGTGCCAAGAAAGTTCTGAGGAGGGATCAGTTGATGCATAGTCGCGGGAAGAAGGATGCGCCCTGCCAGCAAAGGACGTGTTCCGCGGGACAATCGCGAGTTACGTATACATGGAAAACGCTGAATCCGCCGGTGCTTAGTCGAGTTTCGCAAGGACTAGTCGAGGATCCTGGGAGTTTCTGATGGCGCGGGTTACAAATTCACGAGCAATCCCGAACGCACGATTTGCTCGCAAATATTTGTCGGCAGCAGTCCTTGAATCATTCCCGGGATTCTCATTCCCCGCTCAATTTCTCTATCTTCCCCTCTCTGTCTGTCTGTCTGTCTCTTTCTCTCTCCTTCTCTCTCTTTCTCTCAGTCCCTTTGCGTTATGAAAACTGGAAATTGCGCGCAATGAGTTTAATGCGTCCGTTTGAAGCTACGCGAACGCGCGAGAAACTTGGTAGTTTCGTTTCTGTGGGGAGAGGGAGAGAGAGACCTTACACAGCCGAGAATTGTTTAAAAGTTATTTTTTTCATATACAAGCACTTTTTCCTCGACATACTTAGGATATTCAAAGATGAATGTACGAATGTTAAAACTGTGCAAACTATAAATATCAATCTGAAGGTCCGTTTTGCTTAATGAACACCTAACATGCCGTCTCTTACGACCATTTAATTCTCCAGTGGCGAAAGTCAATAATTAATATTACAGTGAAAATTTTACTAGCAGATGTAAATGTAAATTAGCTAAATTACTTCACTAATAAAGTTCCCACGCGCGTTTCTCCTTCGAGAATCTCTGTACCTTTGACGTCGCGCACAATCTAACAAACAATAATGTTATAGGAGCAAAAGTGGTTTGTAATGCGACAGAATTCCTACCAAAGAAATTCTGTCACTTATCCGAGATAAAGCAAATGGTCATACCACGCAAAGTTAGCGCGTTCAAAGCGTCGCGTCGCATTGCTACTCATTCAGTGAAATTACGCTAGTTACGCCACTGGATGTGTGTCAGTTTCTTCGTGTAACATAATAATAATGTACATTAAGTGCAAAGTGCGACGCAGAAAGCATTTGTAATTTGTAAACAAACGAGAATGAAGGTGCAAGTGTGCAGTATTATATTCATCCAGTATGTAACGTGGTACAATATTTTCTTTCTTTTTTGAATTTTTGCTCGCAACGAAGCGTCGGATTTGCCGCTACGTTCAGAAAAAGTTTTAACAAAAGTAATATTTACGATTTTGTCATTGATGTGATAATAAAATGTATGGGTTTTAGCCCGTGTGCAAATGAAAACCAATATTACGTGATTCCGTACGCGCAGAAAATGTTCACATTGACTACAATATATCGTGATATCTTCGAAAAGAAATCTAGGGCGCTTCATGTGTAAATAACTAAACAAAAATTTAATTACCTAATAGAGAGAAATTTAAGGAATATGTAATTTAAACGTTCAATTTTAAATTATTAATTTCATTAATTCGGTAATTTTGGAAGTTCTTTATATCTCGGTTGACGTAACTTCATTCCATCCCGCGACAAGCAGTTTTGTTTTACAGAGTGCGAAATAAATTATGAAATAAGAGAAGAGTTTTTATAATAAATTATTAATTTTATCTGATGAGAAGATAACTATCGGCGCCAACGCCGTAGAAATAAATCAAACTCTCGGGAGATCCATAGCGGGATTATATATACAGGGTGTCTCATTTTAAACAGGCTAGAAGAATATCTCAAAAACTGGCAAACAAATTTTTCAAACAAAATTTATAGGGAGAATTTAGAGAAGGAAAAAGACAGCGATTTCTTTTCATAACCCTAAAAATTTTATCTGAAACATTTTTGTCTAACGATCTCAGTTATTTGGCCTATTTAAAATAGGACACCCAATGTGTGTATGTATATATAAACTATATTTGAGCTATTAATTATATACTTGAGTCGCGCGCACCGCTCTCCCTCTCGTTTCACTCGCTACGCCAGTTTTATATGACGCTGAATTTAATTATCGCTCTACTCGTTACACCGGCACTTTAGCGTGTTTAAAATTCATTAACGCTCATTCTTCCGATCTAAAAGTGAAGAACAGCAGGACAACTTCCTCGAGAAGAATTAATAGATGTTGATCATTACCAACGACTTCGAGAAATCCAGTGATGCTGGACATCGGGTCAGTATTAACCTGGCACATGTACCAACCGCTGTCACTCTTCCGCGTGTCTTTTATGTGAAGGGACCACGTTCGATGGCCACTATGCGTCACTGCGATCCGATGATTCTTCGTGATAACGTGACTCGCTATCGTCAGAATCGTCTGCGTATCGACACGTAGCCACGCTACCTGCAACACAAGTCGAATAACAAACGGTTAAATAATTCATCGTGCAAGTAGAGCTGGTTGCAACAGGAATACGAGTTATTCTGGTCCGGAGGATTATATCTGGACTCTTCGAACATACTGCTTGCGAGTGCACTTTATATATTTTACTTTTATTTCCACTCGGTACACACAACATAGAGAGGTTGCAATATAAGTTGTAACACGTCGCTATGAAGCCCGATGCCTTGGTTCACATCGAATTTATGCAACATGTAAAATAAATAGATTTTCAGACTGTCCTCGAGACATTAAAAATGCAGCACGAATAGGAAGCTTCGTATTATGCACAGAGTGGCGGTTTATTACCTCCAAGTATTTTAAGAGTTCTTCGGTAAGATCTCGAAGCGCGAAAAAGTTTTATGTAAATACACACGAAGTGCAACGCCTGCCTAGATATAAATCAATTCGCGCTGACAGTTCAGACGAATGATCGTGGGAAGAAAAACGGCAAAAATATTCCGAAAGTGTAAAAGTAGCGACGTTACTCGACGATAATGGAATTTTTTCCATTTCACAATCACTGCCCCGCCGTTGCCAACAATTGACACATTTAATCTCACCATTCGTGTGCATACAGAAACATTTCCATTCCAAATGGCTCATCTATTTCAAGTTTTTAGTAAGAGACATTGCACACGCTATTAATTATCGTCATTATTTGCAGCGATATTTAGTCTCTACGTGAAGCGACCGGGAAGATGAATAAAGAGGTGTTAGAAGTGAAATATATCAGAGAATAGCTTCTCTTTAATACCGCGAGGAAGATGATTGTACATTCAGTATCTGGAAACATATGTTTCAGTATGTACAGAATTAAATTTTCGAGGCGTGTTTCCTCCCTGCTTTTCCGTCGCACTATCATATTCAGAGTGATAACAGACGCGAAGCTGGGTAAGTACTTTGTACCACTCCAGCCTGTTGCAGACAGCGTTGAGGAAGTTAATATTTTATCGTATCGTGTTGTGTAAGAGAGATTTACCTTGCAAGATTCGTTTAACGAGTAATATGAAAAAGGAAATTATGGCCGATAAATAATTTTCAAGCGGTTCTGCGTCCTACGCACAACAGGTAGCGCCGTTTCAACCGACGGTAATGATAAAGTAAGAACGATGAAAAGATATTATTTCACGCCAAGTGACGATTACATAAAGTGACTTAATGATCGTAACGCTCACATCGCCGGCAAAAGTATATCATTATTTAATGAATTCCTAAGTGGGAAACGTCCACCTCTCTACGCTCGCCCGTATAACATCCCCGTCGCTTTTTACGAGGCACAGAAGCACGTTTCGATTTTGCTCGGCAATTGCGCGTTAACGTTGCTTTGCGTAGGTCAAATTATGTCCAAAGATGTGTCAAAACTATAAGTGTCAGGCTATAAAGCCATCGTAGTCAAGCGCTAAATCAAAGGGAATAATAATGTGCGCGACCCAGTTACCGCTCTACTATCTTGTACCATTCCCCAGTAAAAGCGATTCTTCTTTTATCTGATCCAATAATCGCGGAACACGGTGACTGCACTTTGGAACATACCTATCGCTTTGTAGATCGCGCGTTGCAACCTAGCCGAGATATCTCATTAAAAAAGTAGATAGCATTCGCCGTACTTATTCTTCGCCGTGAAGGAAAAAAAGGACAAAGATCTCGGCGGGACGACGACGCTCGCCGCCGCACGCGGTTTTATTTATGAATGTCCGTTGCGCGAGTCTTCCGCTTTTCCTGATGCACCATCCCCATCCCCGGTAGTCGACATCCACCTCCTCTCGACCGCCGTCTTTCCCGTCCTCATCGCGGAAGCTGTCAACGCGTCTCATCGTCCAAGTGCTACCGACAATGTCCTCGACGCTTACCAACTATGCTCGTAACATAAAGAGAGCGGAGAAAGAGAGCGAGAGAACGCGAGAGAGAGATGGGAGGGAGAATGGAGCGAAAGAGCGAAAAAGAGGAAGCACAAAAAAAAAGTACTTCTTGTTACGCCGAAGTCGTAATACACTCGACGCCGTTTTAGAACGCGCGCCTCGCGACGCGTCGTCTATCCGGCCCGTAGGCGATGTGTGTCGCGTACAGTTGCACTCGCCACGCGCCTCGTGTGCACCGGACAGGCAGAGGCGGTCTGGTCTCGAAGAACGACTGAACGAGGAAAAGGGAGGACGTTTTCCAAAGAGACAGAGAGAGAAAGAGAGAGACTCGAAGGCGAGGACGAGGACGGAAAAGCGGTGGTTACATCCGTTCGGCGAGAAAGAGACCCGGAAAAGAAGGTACCGGAGCGTACGAGCGAACGGCGAAGAAAGCGGCGGTGAAGCGCGCGTACGACGGTTGGGAGGGCGAGGGCGATTGTAAATTGTGTGCGCAAGGCGGGGGCGCAAAAGCTCTCGAGGCTGATAGAGAAGACATGTGCACTACGCGCTCGCATCTATATGCATGCAAATCTCCCTTTCCTTCTCTCTCTCTCTCTCTCTCTCTCTCTCTCTCTCTCTCTCTCTCTCCCTTTCTCTCTCTCTCTC